AAAATTGGTATCTGCAAAAATGATCTGTGGATATCTGCGTCCATACCCGGGGAGGCATTTCTGCGGACATTTAGGGCCCCATTGAGATCATCTTGTATTGCACAGGCCAGAGATCTTCCCCAAAATAATTCCTAGAGCAAAGCTTTTAGAAAAACATCCAGTCGTGTTTAAAAAGTAACTGTGATGGAGAATCCACCACAGCCCTTGGTAAGCTGTTCCAATTGTTAATTACCCTCTGCATTGAAAACTTGCACTTTGCTTCCAGTTTGAATGTATCTAGCTTCAACCTCCAGGCATTAGATCGTGTTATACTTTTTCTCTGCTAGGCTGAAGAGCTCTCTATCAAATTACTATTCCCCATGAAGGTACTTCTAGATTGTGATCAAGTCACCCCATAACCTTCTCTTTGTTATGCCAAATAGGTCCTTGAGCCTCTCACTACAGTGTCTGGTTTCCAATCCTTTAATCTTTCTTGTGGCTTTTCTCTGAGCACACTCCAATTTTTCAAGTTCCTCTTGAAGTGTGGACACAGAAGTGCTACAATAGTCCAGTAGCAATCTCCATACTGCCCAATTACAGCGGCAAACTAACTGTCTTCTGCTACTTGAGATTCCCCTGTTTATGCATCCAACGGCACATTGGCCATTTTGACCAGAACGTTGCAGTAGGAACTTGTGGTCAGCTGATTATCCATCAGCACTCCAAAGTCTTTTTTCAGTCACTGCTTCTCAAGACAGTGCTTGTCCCGCCATGCTGGAAGTACGACCTCTCCTACATGTATGACTTGACATTCGGTTATATTAAAACGTCTGTTGTTTGCTTGTGCCTGTTTACCAGAAGATCCATATTGCTCTCTCAGACTCAGGTCCTCTTCGTTATTAATGACTCCTCCAATCTTTGTTACCAATATTGAATTTATTTTCTTCCAGGTCACTGGTAAAGATGCTAAATAGCATAGGGTCAAGAACCGATCCTGGCAAGGCCTCTCTAGAAACACACCTGCTTCATGATGACTTCCTGTTTATAAGTACATGGTGAAGCCTATCTGGGGATTTTGTAGCAGGGTTGTGTGGAGCAGGCAGGAGGTGTGCCTACACAGTTGTGTGGGGAAGCACAGAGTGCTGTAGCAGGGGTACTGGGAATCAGGATAGAGGTGGCTGGCAGAATTTGGGATGGGGAGGGTAGTGAGTTTGGGGCTGGAAGGACAGGTGGTGCTGCAGGGCACAATGGAGATGCCTCCGTGTCCATTTCATAGTTTGCTGACACTTTCTGGGCTCCGCTGCTCACTCTCATGGGAAGTAAAAACAAAATAAAAATGCCCTCCGAAATAAATAACTGCCCTAAACGTAGTGCTGTAACCGCTCACGTGTCTGGAGAGGCCTTGCTCGTGAATCCAGGGCTGGAATGCACAGAGCAAGGGCGGAAGCATTCCTCTGTTTCTCATGGCCTTGCACTTACCTGTTTGAGCAACTCCTTTTTCCTGTGGGACTAAAGCTAGGAGAAGCGAGGCAAAGGTTCCAATGCTGCCTGCATACTGCCTGGGCTGGTTTTCCCTCGAGAGGATGAAGGGCAGGGATCGCTGGATCCCGCCTCTGTGTTCTGTCTAGGAGGCTGCAAAGTTTCTTCTTCTCCTTATCAGTCCAGCAGACACTACATTTAGATCCCAGGCGCTCGGATGATGATGGTTTAAATAAACCTTCCTTGGCCTGGGCAGACCTCCTTTCCTCTCTTCAGGGGACTTGCAGATCTCCATGGGCTGCTTTTGGAAGGGAATCTTCTTGCCACCTTCACATTTCTGGGGGGGGTGGCTGAAAGTTGAGAACGAAGCAAATGCTCATCTCTGTGCGTCGATTGGCCTGGGTCAGTCATGCCTGGAGCTGAGAATAAAGCCCTCGCTCACAGAAAGCAGAGAGCAAAGACCTGTTGGGTCCCACCTGTCCTGTGCTCAGGAGGAGCCAATGCAAGATAACTCTTGAGCGAGTGGGTATGGAACTGGACCCTTTCATCTGTGTGTGCGCACGTGCTGCTTCGAGTAGACAGAAGGGGGATCCTTTTCCATCCGGTGTTTGAAGACCATTGGAAGTGGTTCCTTCAGCCGTTTGGTAGCTTGTGGGTCTATTGCGGGGAGAGGAGCTGTAAGGAGTGAGATGAGAATCCTTCAAATTAATCTGTGCTGTTCAACTACATATTAACGAACTTTACCTTCTTCAGGATACGTCTACACTTAAAATGCAACACTGCCACAGCTGCAGAGCTTCCACCTTTCAGTGTTGACGCTGACTGCAGCAGTACGCCTGGTTCTCCCATTGCTGTAGTTAATCTGCCTCCCCAAAAGGTATCTACAGCGATAGAAGAATTCTTCCACTAGCCTAGCGCTTTCTACACCGAGGTTTAGGTGGGCATAGCTAGGTCTCTCAACTTGGTGGATTTTTCACACCTATCAGAGATGTAGCTATGCCAATGTAAGTTCCCTGTATAGACCAACCCACAGTGCCAAGAGAGTGGTTAGGAAGGCTGTGTAAGTAAGGGCAGGAGAGGAGAGGTGTAGACAGGGGATAGTGGTGTAGGGCTTGGAAGGTGTGGACAAGAAATCCCCCCTTGCCATGAAAATTAAGGAGAAGTCAGTGGAAAGACTCAAACAAGGGAGTTACTGCATCTGAGCGGAGGGCATGGAAGATGCCTCCTTTAGCAACGTCAGTTTTGGCTGGAGTGGCAGGCACTGAGGTGCCAGGAGGCTGGAGAGGAGCTGACCAAGTCATGGTTGGAGAGGAGAGGTTGGCAGTTTAAGAGCGGAATGAGAGACCAGGCTAGAGAAAGGGAGCAGCTGTGACCACGGGGCCAAGAGAGGTCTATCAGGAGCAGAGTGTAGGGGGAACCAGCAATTCTGCTAACTCTGGAATAGCCACATGCTGGGTTTAACAGAATATTACTGGGGATGATCAATGTATGGGGTTGCCAGCTTTGGTTTGGGGCTGCGAGTCACTAGTTGAAATGCTTCGATTACTGTGTTTAATCTCCTGTCCAGTGGGGGATGCTAGGCGTGTGGAGCTCATCACATTCCATTTTGCAGCATTCGGTCCTGCCTCCTGTACAGCTCCCGTGGTGCTTTCTTGGAATGCCGGATACTGCGGTTCTAAATCAGCTATGGGCTACCTGTCCATCGGGGTTGTGTGTCTGGCCTGCGAGGGGTTTTGGTTACCTTCGCTCGCGGGCAGGTTCGCCACTTTCTGCTGGTTTCTGTCCGCTTAGTTTTCTTTTCTACTAGTATTACTAAAGCCGTAGGCACATACAGCAAGGGCGCGGGAAGTGAGGTATGGGCTGCTTGCACACAACATTGACTGTGAGAGCCGTGTGCTCCCTCTGCATCCAGTCACAGTGGCACGTAAGCACAGTTAGTAAAACGACCTTATCCTGGGAGACCTCCTTGGCTATGACTGTCTTATGGCCCACTGAGACAAAGGAGGCCGCCCATGCGGCCTGCTCACTAGCCTGGGTTGCCCATCTAAACTCTTGCCTAGCCTTGCTGGGTACTACTGAATAGCTACTTTATTCCACTCCAGAGGCAGCTGCAGGTCAGCAGTGGATGTATGTGTTTATGTATCGTGGGTGGGTGCGATGGATCCGGTTGCGAAATAGTTTCTTTTATGAACTGTTTTTCACTTGCTTGTAACCAGACCCCGGTGCATGCTGAGGCCATGACATTTGCTGCAGAATTGAGTTTGTTTGCCTCCGAGTGTGTGGGGTCATGCTCCTAGCTTTGACTGCCGTCTGAAAAGTGTGGATACGAGAAGAGATTTTTCTGGATAGTCGTTGGCTCTTTAATTTAGTAGAAAAAGCCATCACAAGATCCAGTGATTGTAAACCTCAGTTAGACAAATGGAGGCTAGAAATCAGGTGCCATTTATAATAACTAACCACTAGAGCAATGTTTTCCCTAGGAACATAGAGTGTTCTCCATCGCCTGTGGTCTTTCACAGTCACTCCTAGATGCCCTTCTAGGAGTTGCTGTGATACAGACAGAAGTTCAGGGCTTGTTTCAGAGATGATGTGGGAGAGGTTCTCTGGCCCGTGCTTCAGGCGGCCAGACTAGAGGATCATAACTGCCCTTCTGGCCTGGTAACCCACGACCTTCCCAAAAGACTTGCTCTTTGGGCTGAACTCTTTCATGCTTGATCTCTGCCTGAAGAGCAAATCTTCAGCAAGTCTGAGTGGCATCCCTTGAAGCCTCCTTCCTCTGAGGCGGGAGTGGGGCAGGAGCAGTCTCTTCCCACCGCTAGAATACAGTTCTTGGCATTTGTTTCTAGGATAAGGCTACAAATTGAGGGGAATGGGGCCTGAGTTTAGCCTTCATTGAGGACTGGGACCTTTGCTTAAAAGCTGGCTTTGATTTACCGAGGACGGGCACTTTTGTAACTTCCAAGCGGCTGGAAGTTCCCAGCCAGCAGGTGTGCACGGAATGCTTGCTGCACTGAAGCTGCAGGGACAGCTAGTGAAGGGCTTGGTTGGGCCTTCCTCTGTCTGGATACCCCAGGATGTGTGGGGAGGGGATGGTGGGAGTTCTTCCTTGCCCACCCCCATCTGCCCTGCCCAGGAAGCAGTCCTTGGTCCTGCCCACACTCCCGGGTGCAGTGCTGACCAGCCCCCCGGGGTATGGTGGTGGTGTGAGCAGGGCTGTTCCCTTCCCTTTGCATTGTGACGGTCGGGAATTGTGACGGTCGGGCTGGTGGGAAGCCTGCCACACCTGAAAAGTAAAGGCAGGCCCTCTTCGCGCTGCACTCTCCCCATGCGGTGCCTAGCCTGGCTCCCGACAGTAGACTGAGGACACGCTGCTCCCTTCCAGGCCTGGCACAGTCCAGGTCCCAAGTTTCCAGCTAGCCTAGTGCATGCTGGTTGGTTACTCACGGAACTGGAGCAAGAACCGGACCATGGCTGGAGCGGGTGACATCCACATGGTGCATCCATGCTTGGGGCTCACGGTGTCTGTCTTCCTTTGTCTGCAGAGCGGCTGGCATCCCAGTGAAGGAAAGGGTGAAGGTCTCTCAGAACTGGAGGCACGGCCGCTGCCGGCAGGAAACGCTCCTGAAATGGAAACGCAAGCAAGTGCCCCTTTCTCTTTACCCTGTTCCGTGGCAGCCACTGGGTTTTTCTCTGTACTTTGATTTCAGGCTGTTCTCCCTCCCCCCATAATCTTTAGGGTCCTACAAGTGACACAGAGGAGGGGATCCCCAGTGGTGCTGTCTAGCCCAGCAGACACCCAACCCGAGAACCCAGTCAATAAGGAGCCCCTAGTTCTTCTCTCAATGGTAGGGCTTGGGTCAGATTCCAGCCCTGGCAAATGCATTCTGCTTCCCCAGGCAGCTCTAGTTGGACACAGTGCTCTTCGCTTCGGGCCCTAAGCTGTTGAGTGATTTGCCTTCCGAGCCCTGTCTGCATCTTGTCTCATATCACTGCCCGGCTTCTAATTTGTCTCTGACAAATGAGCGTGCTCTGCTGCTCCCTTGCTTCACCTCAAGTCTGCCATAATCCCTTGAGCTAATGCAGGCCATGCACTCCTCTCCTTCGCGGCCCTCCTCACCGTCACTTCTTTTGTATGCTGCCTTCCCCTGCCGGGCCCCCACCTGGCCTTTGTTCTGGGCGCAGGCCGCACATCTGAAAATCTGAACTGAACTCCTTCCAGGATAGCCAGCGGTGCATGTAGCAGCAGGCCGAGGCTTTTACTCCTTGTGGGCACTGTGTCCAGAGGTGGCAGTGTGCCTTGTGAAACAGCTAGGAAGACCAGATCCCGTGCTCAAGAGCCATGCCTCCTGCAGGTGCAGCCGTAGCTTCAGCGAGGCTCAGGACAAATGAGGGAGACCTTAGATTGTCATCTGCTGGGCAGGGGACCTGCCATTTAATTTTTCTGGGAAGTGTTGTACAGGTTGAACCTCTGTGGTCCGTGACTCTCTGGTCTGGCTGGACCTTGGATGTTGCTGGACTAGAGAGCTCCAGCACAGAGGTTGCTGGTGGCTGGGAGCAGAGCTGGGCAGTGGGCGCAGCAGAGCCCACGGGACACCAAAGCCTGCAGCAGAATGGGCCGGGAAACCTGTAGGGCTGCTGGAGTCTGAGGTGGGGGAGCTGCAGCTGACAGGGCCAAGAAGGGGGGCGGGCTGCAGAGCTCACAGTTGGTGGGGCCGTGAGCGCCTGCAGGGCTGACACTGGAGCTCTTGGGGTTGGCGGAGCTTGCAGGGCCAGCGGGGATGCCAGAGCTATTGAGGCTGCCGCAGCCAGGGGGCCAAGGGCAGCAGTGCCAGGTAGCTGGGGGGAGGAGCCCAGTGGAGAGGTGCCCCCCACCCTAGACCTTCCCTGACCTGGACCCCTCCCTTGTCTGGGATTAGTCAAGTCCCGAGGGAGCTGGACTAGGGAGGTCCAACGCGTACTAGCCTGTGGCGCTGTGTGAATAGTTAGAGGTGGCAATTGTGCCGTCTTGATGTGCGCTCTTCAACAGTGCTGTGTTCCACCCGGAGGGAGCTGCATTTCAGTGGTGAATAATTTGCTCCTTGTCTGAAGTTTCCATACTTAATCCCAAGTGTTACCCAAAATCATTTGGGATGAAAAGTTCTGTAAATACGAGAGATCCTTAATAAACCGGACTCTCCAGGGACAGTTCATTATTGAATGAAGTGACCATCTAAACAACTTCCCTATTTTTCTCATCCCTTGAATTAGCTCATTGCTTTTTCTTTTCAATGAGTTGTTGACAAAGGTAGAAAGTTAGCTCAGTTGCATCTGAGACCCCCACTGACATGGCCCCTAAAGTAGATTGGGGGGAAGCTGGATAGTCCCTTGGATTAGACAGAGGTGCAGGTGTGAAGGAAGGAAGAGGAACTCTTGGGCCACTACCTCTGCAAAGGTGCCATGGCCACAGGCAATGTCTCCTCTCTCTTTTTCCATCCTTGTGCAGAATACATTTTGTGCAGGTGTGAATGTGCCCCACCAGTAGAAACACACGCTGTGGGTGCTCTGCTAATCAGTTGGGTGGCTTTTGAATCTTTCCTGGGTGACTGCCCAAGCACTCAGCTTACAGGGACCAGTGGCTGCAGGGAGCTTGAAGTATTTAATATCTAAGTCTCTAGATTCCTTAGCTTTACCCTCTTCCAAAGGCTCCGTTCTTGGCCTCTTCTTCAGGTCTGGCGCCTTGGTCCGAAAGAAGCCACAGCAGTGCTCTGCATGTATTGGGAGCGCACTTGTTTCCCATGGGGGCTGGTAGACTCAGGCCTGTCCTCCTGAGACGATAACCCCGGGGTGGCCAGCAGCTGTCTGACTTGTTTCCTTTGTCATTGTCTCTGCAGCCTGATGCCCTGGATGCATTTAGATGGCGAGTATCTCTACCTGTCCCAAGCAGAAGACATTCGGGCCTACCGGCTTCGTCCAGACAGCGCTGGTCTGCAACGCCGTCCTCAGGCCATCTTCTCTGGCCACCAGGAGGATGTGTGTCGCTTTGTGCTCGCCGGTTCTCACCTCGTCAGCGGAGGAGGGTAAGCACAGGGCTCTTCAGCTGCACCGGCAGAGCAATTCATTTCCTAAGCCCTCTGCACAAATCCATTCCAGAGCAGATGAGTGTGCTTGCCATCCAGGGCTCCGTATCCCACCATATTGAAGTCCTTCCCTGCCAGTGCCACATGCTTCTTCCCAAGGGAGACCCCTCCAGCGGTAGGAGGCGGACACAGGGTCACACCGATGTCCTGCTCGGACCTTGGTCTCTTTGCAGATGCTGCCGATAAGGGGACGAAGATCGTGCCAGGGATCTCATATCTGTTTTTTCCTTTGCAATAACGGTGACTGTAAGGGCAATGCGCCTCCACCGCTGAGGGGCATGGGCATTCCCTAGCTACTGCTGTGCACGCAAACAACTGTCATCTGCCTGGGGAGAAAGGAAAATGAATTTCTTCCTGGGACGGGAGGGGGGAGAGGAGCATGTGACCTTCCACATAAATCTGCCCTGCCCCCAAAAGACAAATTTTGTATCTGCTCAGGGCTCTCCACACACAGTCCGGGGACTCTCCCTCATGAAATACAATTCGAAAGCAAGCTGCCGAGGTTGAAAAACACACAGACGTGTGCCAAGTTGTAGAACTTTATTGGCATAATAAGGCGGCACATTGTTTGCCGTGTTAATACCATTCATGCAGTCCCTGGACCAAATCTTGCTCCTGGGCTTCTGGCTGCCCTGGCACGAGGGGAAGAGATGTGGCAGGAGGGTCTCCCTGCCATCCCACTGTGCTGCATCGTGTATGGACAGGATTCCGGCGGATTTCCCTGTAAGCTGGGTGCTTAGGCAGCCACCCAGGAGAGAGTCCAATGCCACCCAGCTGATAAGTAGAGCACCCACACCTGGCAGCATGTGTTTCTGTTGGTGGTGCACATCCACACCTTCCTTGGTGCACATGGCAACATTTATTCAGCACACGGATGGAAAAAACTAGAGGTAGTATTGGATTCTGGCATCCTCAGAAACACCAGAGGAGGGAATGGCTACTGTGCTGGTTTGTGCAGCATAGCCTTTCCTGGGCTCTGAGTAGGTTCCAGGCTGGTGAGAACATGCTGCCATCTGCAGCAGACCTGACCCCTGGGACAACTAGAAATGGGATCTGATGGGAACATACACACACACAGGCTGTGTCTACACTGGCATCCCTTCCGGAAAAGGGATGCTAATATAGCACTTTGGAATAGGCAAATCCGCGGGGGATTTAAATATCCCCCGCGGTATTTGCATTAACATGGCTGCCGCTTTTTTCCGGCTTGGAGATGAGCCGGAGAAAAGCGCCAGTCTAGACGTGATTCTCTGGAAAATAAAGCCTTTTCCGGAGGATCTCTTATTCCTACTTGAAAGCAGGAATAAGAGATCCTCCAGAAAAGGCTTTTTTTTCCCGGAGAATCACGTCTAGACTGGCGCTTTTCTCCGGCTCATCTCCAAGCCGGAAAAAAGCGGCGGCCATGAAAATGAAAATGCCGCGGGGCAAAAACGCCGCCAGCCATGTTAATGCAAATACTGCGGGGGATATTTAAATCCCCAGTGGATTTGCCTATTCCAAAGTGCTACATTAGCATCCCTTTTCCAGAAGGGATGCCAGTGTAGACCCAGCCACACTGTGTGTGCCACACACACACACACACACACACACACACACACACACACACACACACACACACACACACACACACACAGTGTGAGAGAGAGTGTGAGAGTGAGAGAGTGTGTGTGTGACCTGTTCCCCTGGGATTGCAGGTGTTCTAGTCCTTGTGCAGTTCTCCGAGCATTAACTGCAGCCACTCATCAAGTGGTGATGTGTTAGAGGACGACTTCCCACTCTGGGTTCTATTTGACAGGGACGGAAATATCATCCTCTCTAAAGTCCATGGCTCCTTCAGCATCAAGTTCTCTGCACATGAACAGGAGGTGAACTGTGTGGACTGTCAAGGGGGCATCATCGTGAGTGGCTCCCGGGACAGAACGGCAAAGGTGAGCAAGAGTTCCTTTCGTAGCTGCAGGGCCATAGCAGAGACGTGAGAGGTGGGCTCTGCGAGTGGAACCTGGAGCCCAGCACTTGCCTCTGTGCGGGGAGCAAAATAAACCCTCTGGGACAGTCTCTGCTTGTGGGCTCTTATTTATGGCGTATTCCGCATTCTAGAAAGCTGTTTCCTAGGGTAGGTTTGTTGTAACAGGACTCAAAGTGTGTCTAGACAGTCGGGAAAATGACACTAACAATGGTTTCGCAAGGCCCTGGATTTTTTCTTTCAGTGACTTTCTTATTAAATTGGATCCATTTAGGCAGGATGTGCCGTGGAGGCGCCTTGAGGCTGGGACTTGTTCTTAGCGCTCTGATTGAGCGGTGCCGTGTTGCTGGAGGGAGCTGGAGAAGAGTTCTTCAGAGTGGGGGCCAGTTGAGTTTTACCCCTCCCAGGTGATGGTGCTCCTAGCACTTCCCTTGGGGTATAATTCAACCCTTTGAGAAGATCTCTCTCTCCAGACGTGGGTGATGTGGGATCAGGACGTAGAAAGGGTTTTCAGTTCTTCTTTTTCACGATTGGGCAGTTGCCATGTTCCTAGCAGGTGAATCTGCCTGTGACCTTTCATTATCTCCACGGTGAGCATTTCCTAGCCCCGGCGAGATAGGGCCATGCAGTCATCCCCTCTCACAGATTAGGAACCGAGGCAGAGAAGACAGGAAAAGGGAATTGAACGTGGGTCTCTCAGGTCCCAGGCTTGCACCCTGACCCTTGGACCATCCTGTCCTTGGCTTGGCTTGGCTGGCTGCTCTGCAGAGGTTTAGCACTAGGTCTATGCCAGAGCTGCAATTTCTGGGCCCAGCGTGTGTCTGCTCGAATGAGTCTGAAGCTGGCTTGGCACCACAAACTGAGCTCAGGTAGGATTGTGGGGCCTGTGTGTCAGAGCAGCATGTTCTCACAGCCCCCCTGGGCAGGAGCATGACCGCCCCCCGATGACCTTGAGACGACACTTGCGAAGGTCAAAAGGAATGAAACTTCTTTTATTTTGCCCAGTTCTGCGGCCGGAATGAGCCTCCCATGTGGCCATAATGGACAGAGGCACTTGGATTCTTGGAGTGATTTTTCTCTTGTGCACTGTAATTTCTGGGGGCTGGAAGGGGATCCGGAGCAGTGCTTTAAGGGAGCGCTAAGTGCAGCGGATGCTATTGAGGGCTCTCCCGAGTGTTGATTAGAGCTAAGCTCCGAGTAGCTGCTAATGTACATTCCTCACTGATAGGCACCAGATAGCATGCTCCGAGCAATATTTTTAACCTGTAGGAGATAGGGATGCCTTAAAAGAGTTAAGCTTTTCTTCTGCTTTTGCTGACACTAGGTGCTAAATTCCCCGCTGACGGGAATAGCCTGCAATCCTGGGCACTATCAACAAACAAACAAACACGCTGCCCCCACTTTGAAGTCTTGAAGTAAAACATTGGGGGAGGGGAGAAGAAGGGAGCTAAGGAGTCTGGAGATGGGGAGGGGGCTGTGGATCCGGGTGGGCTCTGGCGGAAGCCCACGTTGCTCAGACCTGCCCATCTCTAGGGAAGGCAGGAGGTGGGATGGTCTGAAACCCAAGGGCAGGGGAGTGTGTGTTGGCAGCCCTGGGGGAGGGGAGGCGATTCTTCCTCCCTGCCAGGAGGTCAAGGGCCTTGCCCTCTCTGCATTTCTATTGGGGGTGGGCCTACGGAGAGGGTCTGTGCTTGTGCTCCCCTAGGACAAGCTTGCAATTAAATACTCAGTAGTGGTGCAGCAGCAGGGGTGCACCCTTCCCAAGAGCCCCGGGGTGACTTGGACAGACCTTGGACGGGCTCCGGAAGCGCTGCCTTGCAGGCTCTGTAGCACCGGCCCCCTGCCCCGAGGGGCTTGGGCAGGCCTTGGACGGGCTCCGGAAGCGCTGCCTTGCAGGCTCTGTAGCACCGGCCCCCTGCCCCGAGGGGCTTGGGCAGGCCTTGGACGGGCTCCGGAAGCGCTGCCTTGCAGGCTCTGTAGCACCGGCCCCCTGCCCCGAGGGGCTTGGGCAGGCCTTGGACGGGCTCCGGAAGCGCTGCCTTGCAGGCTCTGTAGCACCGGCCCCCTGCCCCGAGGGGCTTGGGCAGGCCTTGGACGGGCTCCGGAAGCGCTGCCTTGCAGGCTCTGTAGCACCGGCCCCCTGCCCCGAGGGGCTTGGGCAGGCCTTGGACGGGCTCCGGAAGCGCTGCCTTGCAGGCTCTGTAGCACCGGCCCCCTGCCCCGAGGGGCTTGGGCAGGCCTTGGACGGGCTCCGGAAGCGCTGCCTTGCAGGCTCTGTAGCACCGGCCCCCTGCCCCGAGGGGCTTGGGCAGGCCTTGGACGGGCTCCGGAAGCGCTGCCTTGCAGGCTCTGTAGCACCGGCCCCCTGCCCCGAGGGGCTTGGGCAGGCCTTGGACGGGCTCCGGAAGCGCTGCCTTGCAGGCTCTGTAGCACCGGCCCCCTGCCCCGAGGGGCTTGGGCAGGCCTTGGACGGGCTCCGGAAGCGCTGCCTTGCAGGCTCTGTAGCACCGGCCCCCTGCCCCGAGGGGCTTGGGCAGGCCTTGGACGGGCTCCGGAAGCGCTGCCTTGCAGGCTCTGTAGCACCGGCCCCCTGCCCCGAGGGGCTTGGGCAGGCCTTGGACGGGCTCCGGAAGCGCTGCCTTGCAGGCTCTGTAGCACCGGCCCCCTGCCCCGAGGGGCTTGGGCAGGCCTTGGACGGGCTCCGGAAGCGCTGCCTTGCAGGCTCTGTAGCACCGGCCCCCTGCCCCGAGGGGCTTGGGCAGGCCTTGGACGGGCTCCGGAAGCGCTGCCTTGCAGGCTCTGTAGCACCGGCCCCCTGCCCCGAGGGGCTTGGGCAGGCCTTGGACGGGCTCCGGAAGCGCTGCCTTGCAGGCTCTGTAGCACCGGCCCCCTGCCCCGAGGGGCTTGGGCAGGCCTTGGACGGGCTCCGGAAGCGCTGCCTTGCAGGCTCTGTAGCACCGGCCCCCTGCCCCGAGGGGCTTGGGCAGGCCTTGGACGGGCTCCGGAAGCGCTGCCTTGCAGGCTCTGTAGCACCGGCCCCCTGCCCCGAGGGGCTTGGGCAGGCCTTGGACGGGCTCCGGAAGCGCTGCCTTGCAGGCTCTGTAGCACCGGCCCCCTGCCCCGAGGGGCTTGGGCAGGCCTTGGACGGGCTCCGGAAGCGCTGCCTTGCAGGCTCTGTAGCACCGGCCCCCTGCCCCGAGGGGCTTGGGCAGGCCTTGGACGGGCTCCGGAAGCGCTGCCTTGCAGGCTCTGTAGCACCGGCCCCCTGCCCCGAGGGGCTTGGGCAGGCCTTGGACGGGCTCCGGAAGCGCTGCCTTGCAGGCTCTGTAGCACCGGCCCCCTGCCCCGAGGGGCTTGGGCAGGCCTTGGACGGGCTCCGGAAGCGCTGCCTTGCAGGCTCTGTAGCACCGGCCCCCTGCCCCGAGGGGCTTGGGCAGGCCTTGGACGGGCTCCGGAAGCGCTGCCTTGCAGGCTCTGTAGCACCGGCCCCCTGCCCCGAGGGGCTTGGGCAGGCCTTGGACGGGCTCCGGAAGCGCTGCCTTGCAGGCTCTGTAGCACCGGCCCCCTGCCCCGAGGGGCTTGGGCAGGCCTTGGACGGGCTCCGGAAGCGCTGCATTGCAGGCTCTGTAGCACAAGGCCCCTGCCCCGAGGGGCTTGTGGCGTTTGGCTGCTCCATGGGCTGGGGTGCTAAAGTCGCTTGGGGACGCCCGTTGGGCGTTTTCCTGCTGGTGCGAGGCTCCAGCCTGATTGTGTTATGGAGAGCTCGGTCTGAAGGTTGGGGGAGGAGTTGTTTTGCTTCAAACCCAGGCTTGGGTGCCTGTCTCTGCCGACCTGGTGAGCTGATGTAGCACCTCTCTGTGTCTCTAGGTTTGGTCCCTAGCCTCAGGCAGAGCTGGGCACTGTTTACACACGGTGCAGACCGAGGACCGGGTCTGGTCCATCGCCATCAGTCCGTTATTAAGGTAACCAAGACTTTTCTTTTTCATCTGAACAGGTGTTGCCTGACTTCCTCCCCTTGCCTCTGCCCATCTCTGGTACTCGATTTGCAGATAACTCCCAGATAGCGGTGCAGTCAGCTAGGAACTTGAGGCGGGTGAGGGCAGGTGGCCAGGGAATAGACCACGATTGACTCACTGTAGCCTTCCACAGGGGCAGGAGTCTTTGGGGAGCACCCCCAGAGCCCCGGGGTCCCAGCTGTGACAGTGACGCTGTGGAAGTGGCCTCTGTGCTCGCTCCCTGCCTGCTCTCTTGTTCGTTTGAGCGGGCGCCGGTCTGAGCTTGTTTCTCAGCCCTCAGCCCAGATGGAACTGTGGCGAAACAAGGGAGCTCCCGTTCTGTGTCCTGCCCTCAATTGTGACTCCAGCGTCCTGCCTGCTGATGGTGACGCAGAGAGGAGTCCTGCTGACTCCGGCCCCCTGGGAGAGTGAGCTGAGTCTGCCTGGGACTGGAGCAGATTGGATGGGGAAGCTCATTAATGGAAAGGAAGCCGCTGGTTTCCAGCTGCTGTTCTGAGCTGAAGCTGAGCGTGCAGGTGAGGCACTCGGATTGTCACTGCCCCGCCCGGGATGTCGAGACAGGGTGTGCGGCAGCCGGCATAGAAACAGCAGCCTCTTCCGACCTACTGATCAAAGAGTCTGCGCCTCCCATTTCCAAGCCTGGACTGATGAGCAGCTCTGAGAACCTGAAGTGGTGTCCAGTAAAACTGGACCGGCCGCGAACTGCCCTCCATGCCTGCTGTTGCGTTGGCCTTCGTGTCGTCCCTCCTGCAGGAGAGCTGCTGCCTGTCCTGTCTGCTGGAGGGGCCAGAGGAGCTGTCAGCAACGCCTGGATGGTGCCTGTCGACTCACATGATCCCAAATTCCTCTGCAGACTGCGGCTGCAGCAAGCTCTGTCCTGTGTCCCCCGGTAATAGACACTGCCAGGGCTCTGCCATCCCTGAGTTTCAATGGGCTTAGTGAGGGATGCATTTGAGGCCAGCCCAATGCCAGGAATTTCCCTCGAGAATGTGTCCTCATTAGATTTCCAAGCCAGTTTTGCAGGCCCCCGCCCGTTTTACACAGGGTGCATCCAGCGGGTGACGGAGCTACACCTCCAGCCCAAGTGAGTGTCACCTGTCCCTGGTTCCATGATACTTCGAGTGCGTGTGTGTGCAGGCCGCTCTCAGAGCCATCCTCAGCCGTGGGCTGAGGCACCTGCGCAAGGTGGCTTTTTGGGCCTCCAGTCTCTTGGCTGGGGGCCACGTGGTTTTCCTTCTGCCGTGGCTGGGAAGAGCTGAGCAGTGCGCTGCTTTATTCTCCTAAGTGATGACCTGTGGCGCTGGCCTCTTGTCAGGACACTGTCTCCTCTCCCCGCCCTACACACACTCTGTCACAATATTTACCTAGCGTCTTTTCCCCCCGCTGGGTGATAAATGGGTGGCTGCAGAGCAGCTACCCCGCAAGCGAGCAGGCCCGGATCACTCGCTCGTTTCATGAGACCGCCAATCCCGTCAGCCTCCCCTCTGGCTGCCCCTCCATATTTTTTTTAAAAGAATTAGAGCCGATTAGCCACGTCATTAATTCTTCAATTTGACGGCTGATATAGCAGGGCCCGAAACACACTGCTGACCCCGTATAATGGAAACCCCGCTCCTTAGCACATTGATGATGGGAGAAGTTAATTAAAATTCCACAGAGTGAAGGTGTCGGCTAACCTATAAACCTGTCGCTTTTAAGAACAAATCGCTGCCATCCTAGAAGAGAGAGGGGATCAGAGCAGGGGCAGGCAGGCGGGTATGGGAGTGGGGGAGCAGGCGTAGGGCCAAGGGGCAAGGAGATGGACTTTCACTAATACACGCATTGTTTGCTGCTCTGCTCTCTAGCCAGGCCAGCTGTTGGGGGGTTTGTTGTCCCCGCATGAGCCCTTGGGATTCTGTACTTTCCTGCTTTGCGTGCTGGGCTGAAGAGGGCAGGGGGGACTCAGGATGTAACATGGTTAGTGCCATTCATCGGCACGAAGAGTCATTCTCTGAAGTATAATATCGCTGCATCCCAGGCGCTGCACAGCCTCTGCCCGATTCTCCCCTCTCCCGGGCTGGCGGAAAGGAGGAGCACCTCCCGACAAGTCAGCAGCTACCCCGGTGTGCTGCTGACACAAGTTCAGCATCTGGCCCTCTGTGTCAGGCTCGGCCCTAAAGTGGCAGAAGACAGAAGCTCTTCAACCGTGCACAGCTGCGGGCACAGGAAGTGAACAATGCCACCCAATCAACCTGAACCGCCATGTTCTTAATTGGGGAATTGGCCAGGACACACGAGTTAAAACCCCAACCATTTGGAAAAGCCCCTTGGATTCTTTAATCACCATCATCAGTCAGCACTTCAGGCTCCCGTCTTGGTTTTCCGTGTCCTAATTCTTCTAGTCTCCTTCGTCCGAAGCATTGGAGATGGCCCCGGATGGAGATAGGGCGCTGGATGGGTTGGCACTGAGCATTCTCTTGTCTATGTGCTTTCCTGGTTGGTTCTTGCTCACATGCTCAGGTCTAGCTGATCACCGTAGGTGTGGTTAGGAAGGAGTGTTTTCATCTTGCTTGGCAGTGTGGGGTCTAGGTCAGCTTCTGGGACCAGCTGGGTACATCTCACTTCATCATTTCCCTGCCGTTGCAATTTGTAAATGCACCCAAATGCTCTTGTTTTGTATTTAAAAAATACAGTCTCAGCTTTGGACCCTATCCAGTCATCAGTGCGGTGAAAGAAGTAAAGCTAGAGTTACCGGATGGTTATTGCAGTGTCTGAAAATGTTTCTTTGTATCTTCAGATCTCTGCAGCAGCAATTAATTTTTGTGGCTCCCTGTGAACTGCATGTGTTCTGATAAAGGGCAGTTGGGGGGTCTACGTTCTCTGCTGCGAAGCTACTTTGGAACCGCCTAGAATCATAACTTCTATAGGAGGCAAACCGAGGTCCCTCCCTGTATCATAGCTTCAGTGTGCCGCCTCTGGTGGGGTTAGCTGTGTGAAGGGCACTGGTGGGCTAGATTGGGCAGGAAGTTAGTTTCATCTGTGCGGGCGGGTTAAAGGAATTTTACAAGCCTCTAAATCCTGCTGATGCTGCTCAGGCGAATTGTCCCGGGGAGCTGGAGTTAGGCCCTAGATTTGGAAAGCGCTAGCACCCTGGAGCTGTGGAAATTGCCTGAAAATCACCGTTTGTAGAGTTAAGGGGGAGTGGCAAAGAAAAGCAGATGCTCTGACGGTGGCGTGAATGGTCTCTGTGCCTAGCTGCTGCAGTTTGCTCCCCATAACGTCTCCCCCGTCTCGTTGAGAGCGAGGTGGAAAGGCTCCCTCCGTACACTGAACTGCCCTTCTCGGCCAGTTCTCATCCGTCCCCGGCAGGTAGCGGTCAGGAGTTTGTCTTCTGCTGGTAAGCGGGTGGGTGGGGACCTAAGCAACTTGCCAGTGACTGGAGTTCCAAACCCCACTAGTACAGTTAGCACCTCTTGGTTGGTCCCTTTGCTGGCAACCTCAGCAGAGAGGAGTAAAGGGCTGTAGAAGTTTTATCACCTTCCTAAGCCTGGAGAGGCCCTCCAGAACTAGGGTGAGAGACGCTTGCTGCGTGTTGTGGGGTACATTATACTACGGAGCTGTTCTGTGGAGGACGAGGACCGTGCTTTTCAGGGATAGCGATCAAGCACCTTTGAAAAATGCTGCTGCATTTATTTGGGAAGTTTGAACAAATTGCCAAATCCATGCCTTGCAAATACCAGAAACAAACCCATCCCAACAGTTAGCATCTGTTTAAAGAGACGGTAGCGGGATAGCTAGTTGTTATATCTTTCTCTTTAGCAGGTTGTCCCTGTGTTCTAGCCTGAGCATCGTACAGTATCTATAGTGGGCCGTTTCTAGTGATATTTATTAAATCACCTACCTGTTCACTGCATTGGCTTCACTAGGACTCCTCCTCCATGCACGTTTTGCACCTGTCCTGTTGGGGGGATCGGGGCAAGGAAGGTCAAAACTTTGATTGTCTGTTGAGTTAGCCCTCTCTTTATGATGCACACGGAACCATACCGCTCAGCTGTGTGACTTCCTCATTGTCACGTGATGCACACATGCCGGGGGGAGGGCTTAGCTTCACAAGTGTGGAGCTCCCTAACAAAGTTATATGGGTAAATGCATTGCTACACCTTTGGTTTCCTCTCCCTTCCTGTCTCTGCACACGCGCTCCTCTTGCATTCAGTACAGCCAGCATATCTGCTGCTGAGTGCCCTGCAAGCACCTCGGGGACTTTGGGGAAGAATGTGGGGGTGTCGAACAGGGCAGCTGCACTGCACTGCAGCTTCAAGGCTCCCAAGAGCTGGCTCTCCATTATGCTTGCTAACACCGCAGTTAAGGTCACAAATGTGCTTCCGCTTCAAGAGCCCCAGTGTAGCTACCCACTGCCTACTACCAATACATTTGCCTTTTGAACTCTGTGTAATGTGCATGTTACATTTTTTGTTTCATGCTGCTCACTGGGGTGACTTATTTGTGTTTGGGGGCCCATCCAAGTCCGCATGAAATGGAGCGATTTAAATTTGCAAAGTGAATCCAACCCTCTGGGGTTTCCAGTGGAATCGCTGCACCTTCATGCTTCATGTCTCCCCGAGGTGAGGGAAGCCAGAAAAGAGAGGCGATTGCCATGCACCATTTGATCTGGGGCTGAGTTTATGGCGAACACCCGGTGTCTGTGCCTGCCAGGTCTGGCGTGAGAAACGTTGCCGTGTGTGTCGTGCTGTCTAAATACACCTTTCCTGAGGAGAACCTGACGGTAGCTCAGGACTTTATTTTATGGCTGAGAGACTTGTCAATTGGAAAGAGACCTAGTGGACTCTGGAAAGAACTCAACTTTATCCTCAGCCCTTCAGAAATCCTGTGGCACGGAGCTAACTCCTTCCTCTCTTTCAGTGTTTCCCTTCCACATTGCAAACCTCTGGGGCCCTTTTCCAAGCAGG